CCCCAAAACCCCAAAACCCCAAAACCCCAAAACCCCAAAACCCCTTTTGAAAACAAAATTTTTGAATAATCTTTAAATTTCAACAAATTTTAAGAGGCCTTGCTAGCCCCACCAAGTAGGGACCTTCGCAGAGCTAGGCTTTATCCTGTATTGATGCTTATAATTCATCCGGCATTTCTTCTTTGCAGAACCGAGGTCAACCCTTCCGTGGTTCAGAGCATTTGGAGGTGGACGTAATGGTGCTAAAGGCTGGTCACTAGTAGTATGCTTGTTTGAGACATATTTCCTTGACAAGTTATTCCTGAGCCCATTCAGAACAGGCTGGCTTCTGTGCGAACTTCCTGATGAATACTGATTCAATCCTCGAGGAGGGTTGCCCCTAAGCTTATAAGAAATTTCAGAGTTTTTATAATTCTCCTTAAGCCTCGAAGAGATCATCCCATGGTTGCTATTAGAATTTGGAGTGATAGAGGAGCCTCCTCTAGCTCCAGCTTTTCCAATCAGGTTATACTGAGGTCTTGGTTGCTGAGGCTCCTCATCAGGATTATTCTGGAGGGATATCTTGTTGTTTATACCCCTATAGTTCTCACTAAGAGGTTGATATCTTCTTTTCTGGATGTTATGAGAGTCGATCTGTCTCTGCCCGATCATCTGGTTAAGCTTCGAAGCGTTCTGCGTTGGATCAATAACTGCATTCTGATGATACTGCATTGCTTTCCTTCATGATTTCTTAGATGCATAATCTCTGCTGAGATATTTATTATTGACATAAACCCGATCTTGATACTTATTACGTAGCTCTTTATTCATTCTCTTCTCTTGATTTTCAACCTCTTTAGCCCTCATTCGGTAGATCTCTGACACCTTCTTAGGCCCCATGCCATCTTTGGAATACATGCGATATCTCTTATCATAAAGGTTGGTTGGAGGGGCCTTAACTGGCTGAGGTAGCTGAGCCTCTGTTGTCTTTGGGTTTCTTCGATTCTTCTTCAAACTTTCTTCAATAACTCTCTTGCTCTTGCTACTCTTCCTATTGTGACTGTGTCTCGAAGAGGCTTTTGATTTACTGATGTTCAATTCACCAACTTCCCGATCTCTGTTTGACTGAGGCATTGGAGGAATAACTCTATGAGAGGGAGCAGTAGGAGGGAGTCCTTTAGGCCTCCTCCTGGGTCTTTCAGTCTTATCAGCCTTTGGTGGCTTTGCCATAGCTCCAGATCCGATTGACTCTGGGTGACTCTTTTTCTTTTCTCCACTTGAAGGAATTCTTTCAAAATCATCTTCATAATTATCTTCTTCAGGCTCTTCTTCAACTTTTTCATTTTCAAATTGACTGGCAGGAAGCTTTTGTTGCAGTAAACTCATATTTCTCGGAATTTTAATAGTATTTAGCAAGTCAATTCAAATCTCTTTTGTCTCCTCATCAGTAAGATGCTCTTCTACTGCTGGCATATGCAAGATTTGCTCTCAGCTCGGCCTCATGAGAGGCGAAACTTTGAGTAATGTAGCTACCACAGTCCCCAAATCTCTCGAAAATACACTAGGAATTTTCTGATAACTGCCCTTCTTGACTTTATTCGCCAGTTCTTGCATTGAAGTAGCAGTAAAAGGCGGTCTCAGAGTAATCATTTCATAAATAACTCATCCTAGTGACCAAATATCACTTCTATGGTCATAGGGTTTGTCTTGCCATACCTCGGGTGATGCGTAGTAAGGTGTCCCCGTCTGTGTATAAACAAGGCCCATCTTAGCAACTTTTGAGACATTCAAATCACCTAATTTAACAGTGCCATCTTTATTTACGAACACGTTGGCTCACTTCAAATCTCTATGCAGAATTTTATTTATTATGAAGGGCATTGAGTCCTTTGACTATCTGTATAAAAGTTTCCCAAATGTCTGCTTCAGAGAATAGTTTATTTCTTTTTCTTCTGTTCTACGATTTTCTGGTACAGATCCCCGCCGTCACAATACTCCATAATTATACAAAGAGCGGCTGGCGACTCTTCCAAGATGCATTCCTTGTAGGAGATGATGTTCTGATGTTGGACAGATGCTAAAATTCGAACCTCATTGAGAGCATTTTCCTTCTCCTTCTTGGAGAGTCCTTTCAGCAGGACCTTCTTCAAGGCATAGATCTGGCCATCAGACTTGCGCTTGACCTTATACACGTTTGAATAAGCTCCTTTCCCAATTGTGTCGATAACTTTGTAGTTATCCATCTTATTTTTAGCCTCGGCAGTAGGCATGTTCTACTTAAATTTAAAAATTTCTATAAAACATCCAAAGCAAGGGGTTTTGGGGTTTTGGGGTTTTGGGGTTTTGGGG